ATGGTCCGAACATGTTTCAACGAAATAAAAGAAATAAAAGAACAAACAATGGTGAAGATTGTTCTCCAGCAAAAAATATTTTCAAAAAAAAAAAAACAAAATTATTAAAAATGTAAATACAGTCAACTCTCGATAAAATGAATTCTTGGTTTCTTGGAAAAATTTCGCTACTCAAAATATTCAATAAAAAAAAAAAACCCCCTCGGAATTTGGATTTTTTTCCATGAACCTAGTGATTCAATTTATCGAGAGTCGAATTAATGTGAGTTAATTCGTTGAAATAAAAAATTAATACCTTGACTTTCCGACATTTCCTGGCAGCAATTGATCTTGACTGTCGTCTGATTGCCTCCAGAGGAAACGACAATCTTCTTTAGTTTTCGGAGGTGGCACCTCCACTGATATCCACCAGACACTCGCAGTAGCACCCCGAGATAAATCTCTCTCGAACTCACCTATATATATACACACCAAATCACAGTTTATAAATTTTTCCCTATTTCAATTTTGTTTTTTTTATTTAATTCAAAAAAATACATTCTTCGATTTTAATAATTTTTTTATTAAAAATATTTTATGAAAAGAAGATTAATTTTGGGAAAAAAGAATTTTTTTACACTGGTAGTGTAATTTATTTTGTGGAATTAATTATGAAAAAATTTTGGTGGAAAAAAATTTTTTTTTGATGATTGTAGAGGGAAAAACGTGCATTTAGAGGAACGAAAAAATGCATTTAAAGAGAAATGGAGACGAAACGCACGCGGCGCAGCCTGGGCGGTAACTGAGCTTTTGAAGACGTTCCGACGCTCAGCATCGCTTCCCAACCCCACACACACACTCTCTCTCTCTCTCTGTCTCTCTTTGAATTTGCTCTCACGAACTCGAGCTCGCGTTCTCGATTTGAGATTTTCATTGTTTTCTTTTTTCTTCATATTCCTCGAATTCAAATAAACACCCACACAATTAAGATTTTTTGATTGAATTTTCCAATAGAAATTTTGACTGTTAAATAAATAGTGAAATATTGAAATTGAAGAGAAATAGAAACATTTATTTGTATTTAAATGAAGGAGTTATTTTTTATGTTTAAATAAAAGAATTTTTTTTAATTAAATAAAAGAATTATTTTTAATTAAATAAAAGAATTATTTTGTATTCAAACAAAATTATTCTGTATTTAAATAAATTGATTATTTTGAATTTAAATAAACAAATCAAATTTCATTAAAAATTAATTAAAGAAATTATGAATTGAATATTAAAATTATAAGTTAACCAATAAAAATTACAAATAATTGCAAAATGCAAATTAAAAAATTAAATTATTTTTGGCAAGTGAGATGGCTCAGTGGCTTCACTACTGGACGAGCAACAGTAAAGGGCAAGGGTTCGTTTCTTCGCGACTGGGAATTTTTTCTACTACGAATTAAATTCTAAACTAATTTAAAAAATTAAATAGAAATAATTGAAGAATATATTAAAAAGTTAATTGAATAATATTTGAATTTAATTTAATAATAAAATTCTGTAAATAATTGAAAAATATGTATTAAATAGTTAATTTAATAATTAAATAATGCATTGAATAATTGAAAAACGTATTAAATAGTTACTTCAATAGTTGAATAATCAATTAAATAAATTCAAAACAAAAAATGAATTAAATAATTAAAAACAAGAAATGAATTAAAAAATTAAAAAATGTGTTAATTAAATAAATAATAAATTTAATAAATGTTTAGATAATTTAAATAATTAAACAATGGATTGAATAATTGAAAACTGTATTAATTAGTCCATTATTCAATATTCATTACTCAATAGTTGAATAAATAATGAATTAAGAATTAAAAAATGTAAAAAATAGTAAGTAAATTTAAAAATTAAATAATAGTAAATAAATAATTAAATAAATAACTAAATAATTTCTCAAATAATTTTCATAATTAAAAAATGCATCGAATAACAGAAAAATGTAAGTACTAAATAGTTAATTTAATTATTAAATAATGAAACATTCCTTTAGAAGTAACCTGCGCAATAAAAATAAAATAAAAAGCCCTAAGTAATAAAATAAACAAATAGTAATTTTACTTATTATTAAATTCTAAATAGATTATAATTGTAAAATTTTCATAAAAATTCCTCCAACTTTGGAATTCAGTATAATTTTGAAAAATATGAGTAGAAAGAATGTTTAGTAAAGTGGAGAATTATATTGACGAAAGTGGACTTTTATTTAAATTTAAAAATAAATGAAGTACTTGGAGTGTGTTTTTAATTACATTATTCGATTTACGTTGAATAAATTGGATGAAAGTTTAAATTATATTTTCAATTTTCTTCTTCAACTTGAAGAGTGTAATTAAATTTTTTTTCACAAGTTGAGAGTAGATTTTATAAAAAAAAAATCTTTTCTACGGATATTTCATGGAAAATATCTTCCATACAAATAGCATTAAGTCTTGTCTGTAATTCTTTATCTTTTCAGTAAAATAAATTCTTATTAATTAAGTTATGAAAAAATATTTTAAATATTTTCATTTTGTTAAACATCGGTTTTTCATTATTTTGCAATAAATTTTTCTATAATTAGTTTTTGAATTACAACATTATAAATTATTATTATTATTTGTGACGCAAAAAATTAAATTAAATTTTACAATTCAGAATTTTTTTGAATTAATTATTGAATCATTTTGAATTTAAATAATTAGATAATAATTTGTTTAACTTTCTATTATTAGTTAATAAAATTATATAATTATAACTTTTTATCACATAAAATAACAATAATATTAAATTGTAAATTTGGGAATTGATATTCAACTAAATTAATAAATAATAATAACACTCTTTATTATTATTTATTCTTTTTAATTAATTTACTTTTTTATCATTTTTTTAAACATTTTAGCTCTTTGAATTAATTAATCTGTCATCTTGTACTATAAATTATTTTATAACATAATTTTCTTAACACACTTTTGTTTTAATAGGATTTGTTGAAAATTTAATAACCCTGTCATCAAAGGAGAAAGAAGAAAAAAATTCCGATCAATTTGAATTGCTCGTCAAATGTCGTCTAATTACATATGTGTCTTGTTTACGGCAATAATTAATATCTTCGTGGATAGTTATATTTGATACCAGGGTTTCAAATCGTCTACATGAGTTTACCACACAGTTTCGCTAGAATCTCATGAAGGTAATTTAATATTACAGTTTAATTATTAGAACAAACAATCAAAACTTACAAAAAGATGTTTTAATAAATTAATTTTGCAAATAATAATTTCCACTATCTGTTTTTTTTATTATAATTTTTAACAGTGTTTGAATTAAAAATGAAATTAAAATAAAAATTAAAATAAAAATTAAATTTAAAATTAAAAAAAAAATATTAACAAACAACAAAAGTTATAATTAATCATTTTATTTTACAAACTTTCATATGTTATTGTAAATGAAAATTTATAAATTCTATAAAATTAATTAAACCATTTCAAATACGTAATAATTTAAATCAATTATATTCTTGATAAGTTTTAGCTATTTGAGGGTGGCTTTTTGTATAAATATATATACATGTTTCCTGCATCACACTTTTCATTTAAAATTTTCTTATCGCCTCGAGCAAAATTTCTTTGAGTAATAAAATAAGTTTTCCTATTTTCAAAAGTGACGCTAAATAAGAAAGTAACAAAGCATTCTCCTAGAAAATCGAGAAATAATTTTAATATTGGGTTAAAAATTGTATCTTTAAAAGTATTTTCAAATAACTTTTCACTACTTTTCTCATGAAAATATTGCAATTCAACTTTCATCTCATTAAAAAAAATATTTGCCATTATTATTACAATCGCAATGATAATTTATTTATAATAACAATAATAATAATAATAATAATAATAATAATAATAATAATAATAATAATAATAATAATAATAATAATAATAATAATAATAATAATAATAATAATAATAATAATAATAATAATAATAATAATAATAATAATAATAATAATAATAATAATAATTAATTAAGTTATTTCAATGATTATAATTATTAAATAATTATTAATGATTGAAAAAATAAATGGTAGTAATTATTATAATAACAATTATTTCACCAAAAAAATTTATTTGAACCAATAATTTCAGTATTTGAAGCAAATATAATTTCATTGACTCAAATAAATTTTTTTAGTGTTCTTTAATTATAATTTTATCAGTAAATAATTGCTAAACAATTGAGGGAATTATTAAAATTTTTTTTTTACTAATTATTATCAGTAATTATTATTGTTTATAATAATTATTATAAAATAACAATGATTTCTTTAATTGTTATTTTAATACTAATAATTATTAAACAATTGAGAGAATTATTCAAAATTATTTTTTTAATACTAAATATTATAGTAATTATAATTTTTTAATAGTCATTATAATAACAATAATTAATTTTTAATAGTGATTATTATTAATAATAGTATTTTTTAAAAGTAATTAATATTATTATTTTTATTTTACTGTTTATTTATATTTATTAATTTTTTTAATTTTAATATTTCCACTTCTTCATTTTTATATCCAACATTTTTTAATTATGTATTTAAAATTTTTTTTTAATTAAAGAATAATGAAATTTAAAAATTAATTATATTAATCTAGTAATTATTTAATTTATTTTTTTTATAAATTGTTTTAATCGATATCAATAAAATATTGATTGATTTATAATTAATTATTTAAAAAAATTATTACCTCTATGTTAATAACCGTATTTTACCTATATTTGTGTGTAAAACGATATATAATTGATTAATTATTATTCTCAATGCTAAATCAATAATAAAATCAATAATTTCAACTCAATTTATTATTTGAATTTTGAATTTCGCGCGCAAAAAGCACGGACGTTACGCACTATTACAAAACTATTACAATCGAATTCTTGGAATTTACGTTTTTACAAATTCATTCATCAATTGTAAGTTGTAACAGGTGCATGAGTTATTTCATTAAAGAATTAATTCATTGACAGGTAGTCATTTCATTTAATTAAAGCCATTTTAAGTGCCAAATTAATTGTATTTATTATAAAAATTTACAATTCTGATTCGTTTATTTATTAATATGTTACAAGATAAGGAATATTTAATGAAAAGAATTAAAGAAAATTAATAAATAAGTAAAAAAAGTGTATAATTCATCATGACACGAGTGCTGACATCTAGTCTCGAGTTTCTCAACTACATTCATAAACAACTTGCATAGTTGTCATTCAGTTATCAGAAGAGAAAACGGAGAAAACACAAGCAACAGAAGTGAAATTAAAATATGTTAGAGAAAACAATTATCTTTTAATTTTATGTCAATAAAAATAAAATATTATCTGAAACCATTATATTTGAGAACATATTTCTTTAAAATATCTCTGATGGATAAATTAATGACAGGTAATTTTGTAAATCATTTTAGTTTTTAGGTTATGTGTATTTATCTTTTTCCTTTTGTTCGCACAAAGTAGTAGTTTTGTTATATAAAAAGTGTTTAAAAACGTTTACAATGTTTAAAAAATTATTAATATTTGTTATTTTACAGTTAAGAAGACATTATGTCCATATCAGGAGAAATGTTATCGAAAAAATCCCATCCATTTCAACGAAATGTCACATCCCCACTGTGAGTATTTAGTATTTTTGAAATTACTAATTCTTTCTTTCTTTTGTTTTAAAAATTGCCTCTAATTACTAAACCAGGCTTCGCAGTCAATAATTAATTTTAAAAAAAGTATCTTCAAGACTGAAAAAGGTAGTTATCGAAAAATTAAATTTTGACGATTAGAAAATTCGTTTTAGTCAATTCACAATAAAAAATTACAAAAATTTGAAATAATTGATACATTTTTCGAGAAATATGTTTAAAATTGTATTAAAAATAATTGAAATCCTGTGAAAAATTTTTTTATTTATGAAAATAATTAAATTCTTTCAGACGAATTTTATTTTTTTTTTTAATAATTAAATTTTTAGGAAAAATTTTATTATTTATGAAAATAATTGAATTCCTGCAACGAATTTTATTTATTATTTTTAAAGAATTGAATTCTTGTGAAAAATTTTATTATTTATGAAAATAATTGAATTCTTGCAACGAATTTTATTTATTTCTTTTTAAATAATTAAAATTCTGTAAAAAAATGTTATTATTTATGAAAATAATTGAATTCTTGCAACGAATTTCATTTATTTCTTTTTAAATAATTGATATTCTGTCAAAAATGTCAAAAATTTTTTTAAATAATTGAATTCTTGCAACGCATTTTATTTATTTCTTTTGAAATAATTGAATTCTTGTGAACAATTTTATTATTTATGAAAATAATTAAATTCTTGCAACGAATTTTATTTATTTCTTTTTAAAATAATTGAAATTCTCTCAAAAATTTTGTTATTTATGAAAATAATTGACTTCTTGAAGACGAATTTTATTTATTTTTTTAAGAATTTAATTCTTGTGAAAAATGTTATTATTTATGAAAATAATTGAATTACTGCAACGAATTTCATTTATTTCTTTTTAAATAATTAAATTCTTGTGAAAAATTGTATTATTTATGAAAATAATTGAATTCTTGCAACGCATTTTATTTATTTCTTTTGAAATAATTGAATTCTTGTGAACAATTTTATTATTTTTATGAAAATAATTGAATTCTTGCAACGAATTTTATTTATTTCTTTTTAAATAATTTAAATTCTGTCAAAAATATTATTATTTTTTAAAATAATTGAATTCTTGCAACGAATTTTATTTATTTCTTTTTAAAATAATTGAAATTCTGTAAAAAATGTGTTATTTGTGAAAATAATTGAATTCTTGTGAAAAGTTTTATTATTTATGAAAATAATTGAAATTTGTGACTTTTATTTAAATAATTGATTTTTTAAAATCGTTTTACAAAAATTTAATAGAATAATTCAATTATTTCGAATAATTTAATTCAAATTGTATTAAAAATAATTGAATTCTTACTATGAATTTCATTATTTATGAAAGTAATTTAATTCTTATAAACAAATGTTATCAAAATTTTGGAAAATAATTAATTTCTTTCAAAGAATTTTATTCAAATAGTGTAAATATTGAAAATAATTGAAATATTAAATATAATTGAAAATAAATGTTTTCTAATGTTCAATATTCGCAATTTCAGTGGAGAAACTGGTAATAAATCGCCTCGACGATATTTTAACGATTCCTACTCATCTCGACTTTGAGTGTCCCGACAGATCTCAGTTGCTGGATCAACTAAAAGTTTTGCAAATTGTCCTCAAAAAGGAGAGAGATCGAAATGGAGGGACTGCAAGTCAAGAATCATCAAAAATTCCAGAGAGTACAAAAAAGACAGTAACTGATTCACCAAAAAAGAATTTAACCCCCAAAGGCAAGGAGACAATATCCGATGATTTAAAGCAAAAAATAGAGCGAAACAGACAAGCAGCATTGCTAAGAAGGGAAAATAAATTAAAAGTACTTGACGCAAAGGCCGAATTACTTGCAAGTTACGAATCTAGTTCGAGTGGACGGGAAAAATCTCCAAAACCAAATTTAAAACGAAATATCACCAACACTGATGTGACTAATCAAAAGAAAGCGAAAACATCAGATTCAACTTTCTCCTCTCAGTCCAGTTCGAGTTCAAGTACAAATAAAAATTCATCGTCATCAATAGCAGAGGATTTTTCTCTCTGTAAAACGTCAGCGGGTCGTGAAAATATTCGAAGGCAAGCTTTGGAAAAAATGCAAATGGCTGGATTTAAGGCGAATATCGTTGAACCTGGTGAATTTGCTCTAAAATATGCACTCTCGGAGCCCTATCATTTATTTTTCACTCGAGTTGAAAAAATTAAGGAAACCTACAATCAACCTCTCTCGATAACATTACCAGAAGTTCTCGATATTAGTCTTGGCGAAATTGTCGAGAGTTTGCATTTTAATTTCATGATTGACATCGGTTGGGTGTGTCTTCAATATCTCTTGGCAGCTCAATCGGCCAAAATGCTTGTATTCTATGAGAGTCGAGTCGACACCGAACCATTGCCAGCAAATATCACTGCTATCGAAATTCCAAAACCCTCAGCTTTCGGTTGTCATCACACGAAAGTTTCGCTTTTGAAATATAAAGACGACGGTATTAGAATTATTGTCTCGACAGCTAATCTCTATTCCGACGATTGGGAAAATAGAACACAAGGGTGAGTTCAATTTCATTTTCAGGGATTTTTATTAAAAGTACTGGAAAAAATTAAATTTTTAGATTTCATAACAAAATTCTGAATTTTTGCTCTCTCTTTGTTTGCCTCATATAAACTACGAAATTACCACGAATTCTAAATCAAACCTTCAATTTTTTTTCTATTTCTATTCTGTTTCAATTTTAAAAACTTGAACGCAATTCTTTGAAAGAATTCAATTTTCTTAATAAATATTAAAATTCTTTCCAGAAATTCAATTTTTAAAAATTTAGAAAAATAAATTTATTGCAACATTCAATTATTTTCATAAATCACAATATTCATCACAAGAATTCAATTATTTTTAAAATCAATAAAATTCTTCGCAGAAATTCAATTATTTTCAAAAATTTTTTAAAAAAGTCAGCATTTCAATTATCTTTATAAATGAATATGAAAATTCTTCGACAAAATTAAATTATTTTCAGGAATTTTAATAAAATTCATTGCAAAATTCAATTATTTTCATAAATCACAATATTCATCACAAGAATTCAATTATTTTTAAAATCAATAAAATTCTTCGCAGAAATTCAATTATTTTCAAAAATTTTAAAAAAAGTCAGCATTTCAATTATCTTTATAAATGAATAGCAAAATTCTTCGACAAAATTAAATTATTTTCAGGAATTTTAATAAAATTCATTGCAAAATTCAATTATTTTCATAAATCACAATATTCATCACAAGAATTCAATTATTTTTATAAATAATAAAATTATTCGGAGGAAGTGAATTATTTTAAAAAATACAATAAATAAAATAAATAAAATAAATAAAATAAAATAAATAAAATAAATAAAATAAATAAAATAAATAAAATAAATAAAATAAAATAAAATAAAATAAAATAAAATAAAATAAATATGTATTCAAAAATACAATACTAATAAAATTCAATTATTATCAAAAAAATTTCTTAATTCAATGATTTTCAATATTTTTAAATAAAATAATCTATTTTAATAAAATTTACCCAAAAGAATTCAATTATTAATTAAAAATTTTGATAAAATTCCACACAAACATTCAATTATTTTCCAAAAAAATAAAAATTTCACAGGAATTCAATTATTTAAAATGGAATTTGCATAAATTTTTTCAAAAAAATCAAATGTTTTAAAATTTGGCATTAAATTCTTTGCAATAATTCAATTATTTTCATAAATTTTAAAATTCCTTTCAGGTATTTAAATATTTTCATAAATAATAAAATTATTCGGAGGAAGTAAATTATTTTCACAAATACCAATATTCATAATAAGAATTCAATTATTTTCAAAAGTAATAAAACTCAATTATTTTCAAAATTTGTAATAAAATTCATTGCAAAATTTCAATTATTTTCAAAAAAATATTCTTAGTTCAATAATTTGTATGCCTTTTATTTTAATAAAATTTCCCAAACGAATTCAATTATTTAAAAACAATTTTGACAACGTTTTACACACATATTTAATTATTTTCTAAAATTATTAAAATTTCACAGGAATTCAATTATTAAAAATAGAATTTGCATAAATTTTTTCAAAAAAAGTCAATTATTCGAAACTTGTTTTATGAAATTCTTCGCAATAATTCAATTATTTTTATAAATAATAAAACTCATTGCAGAATTTCAATAATTTTTAATAGAATTTTAATCGAATTCTTCGAATAATTTAGTTATTCTTAAAAATTTTATTAAAATTCGTCGAAAAAATTCAATTATTTAAAAATTTGTTGATAAAATTAATGTAAAGAATTCAATTTTAAGAAACATTCAATTATTTTTAAGAAACATTTAATTATTCAATAAATTATCTATGTTTGTATTTAAATAATCGAATCTACGTAAAATTTTCTAATAAAAATTTATTTAAAAATTAATTCCAGTCAAAGTTTTAAATAATAATTTAATTTTTGAGAAGTCATTAATAATTGCAATTTTTAGATATAATTGAATTTTGTAAAATTTTCAAATTAAAATCTTTGAATATCTGAATTTTTCATACTTTTAACTAACAATTTTGTAGAAATAATTTTTTTGAAGAAGTTTAATTAATTTATTTTTTAATTATTTGAAGTTTTCATTTTCTAATACATATTTAATTAAAGAATTTTCGAATAATCGAAATTTCGTAAAATTGAATTGTAAACAAATGAATTTGAAAATTCTCAAAAGAACTTTACCAAAAATGATTAATAATAATTGATTTAAAGAAGAATTTTAGTTAAAAATTCTAGAACATAATAATTGAATTGCATAATAATTTTAAAGAAGTTTTAGAAACAATATTCTTATAATATAAAATAATGATTTTATCAGTCGGTCATCATTAATTATTATAAAACACGAAGAAAGTGATCACTTTCTTCGTGTTTTATAATAATATTCTTATCTGTTATTGAATTTTAAAAGGTTTGAATTGGAAATTTTGAAAATCTTAATTCCCATGGAAAAATAATAATGATTAAATATTTATTTAAAAAAGAAGTTATTGATGTTTTCGAATAATTTTCCAACTAAAAAAATTCGTAAATAAATGTAATAGAACATTTTTTTTTAATATCCAATAATTTTTAGAGTGAATCAAGAATATTCTTTAGGTTCAGGGAAAAAGGCAAAATTTTGTCTAGAAATCAGGGAAAAACAAAATTAAATGTTTGTGGCAACCTTATTTTTTTTAAAATCATAATTAATATAAAAAAATTATTTTCAGAGTTTGGATATCGCCCCATCTTCCACGACTTCCAGAATCGGCAAATTCAAACGATGGAGAATCGCCAACTGGTTTCAGAAAGGATTTCGAACGTTATCTATTGACCTATAAACAGGGGAATTTAACAGAATGGATTTACGCAATAAGAAATGCAGATTTCTCGGCAGTAAATGTATTTTTCTTGGCATCAGTGCCGGGAAGTCATAAAGGACGAGACGCCAATAATTGGGGGCACAAAAAATTATCGACAATTCTTTCTCAACACGCAATATTACCGGCTGACTCGTCATACTGGCCAATTGTCGCTCAATGCTCAAGTATTGGTAGTTTTGGTCCTAATTTCGAAAATTGGCTACAAAAAGATATTGTCACATCAATGTCAAAGGAGAAGAATGCAGGATTGAAGAGTACTCCTAGTTTTCAATTTGTTTATCCGTCAATCAATAATTTTACCGGCAGTATTGATTGTCGTGCGGCTGCATGCTGTTTGCCTTATAGTATGAAAACGCACTCGAAACAGCAATGGATCGAGAGTTATATGTAGTGAGTATGGAGTAAAAAAATTATTTTCCCGACTGGGAATTAATATTAATTAAATTGGTATTAAGTAAATATTAGTCAAATTAATATTAAGTAAATATTGATTAAATTATTATTAAATAAATATTAATTAAGTTAATAAGTAAATAGTAATCAAATTTATATTCAATAAATATTAATTAAATTAATATTCAATAAATATTCTTTACCTAGATTAATATTAAAAAATATTCTGTAAAGATTTTACATTAAAGTAAATTTTTATTTTTCCGTTCATTTGCAGCCAATGGAAAGCGAGTAAAATTGCGAGAGACAGAGCAATGCCACATATTAAATCATACACGAGAATTTCGCGAGATTTCCAAAAAATTCCTTGGTTTGTTTTAACCAGCGCAAATTTGAGTAAAGCTGCTTGGGGAACATTCAGAAATTCGAATTATATTATGAATTACGAAGCTGGTGTTGTTTTCATTCCAAAATTTATAGTGAGTATTTTTACATTACGTCATTAATTAATTTAATTAATAACTAATTATTCTATAATTAAAGTTCTTAAATAATTGCAATTTTTGTAAAATTTTATTAAAAATAATTTACAGTTTTTAAGTATTATTATTAAATTTTTTAAAAATCAATTTTGTAGAATTTTTATTTGAAATTTTAAAAGTAATATTCAATTCTTAAAAAATTTTAATGAGAAAAAATTTAAATAAAAATTTGAAAATTAAAATTTACAAATGAAAATTAATGAAAATTTAGCTACAAAAAATTTGTATTTAAATTTTTGAAACAAGTAATTCTTCGAATTGTTACATTATAATTTTTTAAAATTCTATTATTTCCAATACTTTCAATTACATATTTTCGAAAATTCCAAATATCTACAAAAAAAATTAATTACATGAAAATTTCCAGAGTCTAATTTTTTAGAATTATTATTGAAATTTTGGAGAAATCAATCATTTTCAAAATTTTTAATTAAAATTCTTTAAAAAGATCTTTAAAAAAAACTTTATTAATTCTCTAAACATTCTATTGAAGAATTCAATTATTTTCAAAAAATTACAATACAATATTTTTTAAAAAGTAAATTTCAATTTTGTAAATTTCTCAATTGTAGGTAAATAATTAAAAAAACCTATTATCTTTCAAAAATTTTATATTAAAATATTTTTAGAAAACGAATTTTAAGAATTTTTTTATAATAATGTTTAAAAATAAATTAGTTTCAATTTTTTTGATTAAATACATTTAATAATTCAGCGTTATAACTTCTAAAAAAAGATCATGATGATTTACAGTTAAAATTTTTATACAAAATCGAATTTTTCTTTTTAAATACTTAATTGAATTTTTTATGAACTTTCGTTAAATTATTAAAAAATTTATTTAAAAATATTTTTAAAAAATAATTATAAATAAAATAATAAAAAGAATTAAAAGCAATTACACTTTTGGAAAAATTTTAGAATTTAGAAAATAAGAATTTAAAAAATTTAGAAAAAGAAAAATTTAGAAAATCAAAACTTAAATCAGAAATTGTAAAATAAATTTTAGAAATGAATACTTGTTAGAATTTTTTTCTTTTAGAAATCAGAACTTGTTAGAAAAACATTTTTTAGAAAACTGATTTTATTAGAAATCGAGTTTCTTAGAAAAAAGGTTAAAAAAAAATATTCTTTTGAAAAAGTGATCATTTACCGTCAGGGAAATATAAAATTAAATTTTTGTGGTAACACTGAATAAAATATTTGTGATTTTTGTTTTTTGAAACAAAAATAAAATAATTCAACTGTTTGAAACTTAAACTCAAACCGAAGCATGTAATGAGATTTAGAAATGGAATTAGAATTCAAATTAGAAGAATCATAAACATAATTAAAATTAGAAATAGAAATCTATTTATTTATAATAATAAATAATAATTCATAAATATCACAATTTATTATTATTTACATTTATTATAATTTATAACCCTTTTTGTAATAATTACAATTTATTATCATAATTATATTTATAACTTAAGTCATTTATTGCAATTTATCAATATAGCATTCGTTTCTTTATGTAGAATAAAAGAGAAAGTAATTAAAAATGTTATTTTTTCTAACATTATCAATAATTATGTTAATTTTTTTTTCTTTCAGACAAAAGAAACGACATTTCAAATTAAAAAGGAAGAATCTTCGGATATTCCTGTTTTTCCAATGCCATATGACCTTCCACTGACTCGTTATGGACCACAGGACAAAGCATTTGTGATAGAATTTTTTGATAGTGCATAAAACAATTTCTACTAACTAATTAAAGGTAATACTGATAAAATCTGGTATTATTTTCCACAAAATAAATTATCAAGAATATTTAAATTCTACCGGAAAGAAATTAATCAATTTTATTTCAATTCTATACAAATTAAATTGTTCGTTTATTATACAAAGAAAAAGCACATGTACAGTATATTTTCAAATAATTATTTTCTAATAAAATTTTTTTTTATAGAAAAAGAAAAAATTGTTTTAATTGAAAAATACATTTATTTATCTAAAGATATCAAGATAATTATAATTTTAATTATAATTTTTCCTTTAGGATATTGATTGAAATTTGAAATTTGAAAATTTTAAATTCTTTGGGTGTTTTGAATTTTATTTTATTTTTTTATTTTTTTATTTTTTTACTTGATGTCAGTTGCAATAGTGATTATTGCATATAGAAATCGTGCTTTCCATAAAAAATCAGTAGGAAAGTGTTTTCTGATTAAGCGACTTCTTTAGTGGCGCATCGGTTTCGTACATGTTTTGTATTTAAATTGCACATAACGAAACGAATATGCTTTTCACTGTGCAGTAATTACGCGTAAGGCAAGTGCGTATAACAATACAAATAGTTAATCAATCTTTTCATGGGCTTACAAATTAACCTTGAAACTTCTTTCATTTATAATTAAAAGTAAAAAAATTAAAAAAAAATGCTTCCCATAAATTAAAATCTACTCAAAAATTAAATTTTTGCTTGTAAAAAATTAGTACAAAATTAAATTAGGAAAATTAACAATTAGTACAACATTTTTCAAACAAAATAATTTCATTAATTGAATAAATAATAAATACAAAAATATAATAATAATTTCTTCAATTAAATGAATAAATAAAAAAATAAGTACAAAAATAATTTCTTTAATTAAGTAAATAATAAATAAATAACAAAAATAATTTATTTAATTAAATAAATAACTAATGAATAAATACAAAAATAGTATTTTTGTTAATTTTTCTTATAGAATTAATTTATTTTGTTTATTTTATTTCATTTATTTCAATTATAAATTAATAAATTTCAAAAATATTTCCTTTCCACCTGTTTTACTATATATTTCTTTTCGTCTAAAATCTTGAAACTAAATATTTAAAATTCTTTTTTAGCAAAAAATGACAGTTTTTTTTTTCAATTGTCAATTTACGAGTTTGACCTCATCACCTCATATGAGTCAAAATAAATTTTAACGTGATGCTATAATTTGACACACAGAACTCATATATTTTATGTGCAAAAAATAATAAATTTTTTTCTTCTCAACAGAAATTTAATAAATTATCGGATTTGTAATTTTAATTGTTCGTTGATCTATGTGACACATTGCAAATTGTACTTTTTTTCATTACAAAGTTAATATTTCTCATTGACACAGTAATATTTTACACGATTATTTAACATTTAAAAGAAACTGATTAACGAATTTTTTTTCTTTTTATCATTTAAAAAAAATTGATTAAAAAATATATTTAGTAAAGAATGTTAAAATAAAAAACTTTATATAAAGAATATTTATTTACTAATTTTTATTTGTCAATAACAATTTTTTTGCTGATTTTTATTTTTGATAAAAAATTGTTTTCTAATTTTAATTTTTTAATAAAAATTCTTTTACTAATATTTTAAATTTTTTGGTAACAATCATTCTTTTACTAATTTTTATCGTTTAATACAAAATTTTGTAATCATTTTTATTTTTTAATATTTTATATTCTAAAAATAGAATTTTTTTTAAAATGATTATTTATTATTTATTCGAAAACAAAATTCAGAATTTAAATTAGAAAAATAATTGTCTTAATAAAATTGAAGTACTTTTCCGTAAATGGAAAATATTCAAATTTCGAAAGTGCATTAAATGTTATAATTATGTACAACTATCGTAACTCGTCGTGATGTTAATCATTCACTGATTTCGGGATAATTTCACTTTGAGGTCTACATTTTACGTAACAGTTGTTGCAATTTTCGAGAATATCACAAACAAAAATTTTATTTAAATATAATATAAATATTCTCAATTTATTGCCTTCCACTTTTTCCAATCATTATAAACAATATTTTTCGTATTATTTTATTTATTATTAAAAATTATTTAATTATTTATTATTTATTTTTATTCATTTAAAAAATATAAAAACTGTCAATAATATTGTTAATAGAAAGAGGAAAATACTAAATAAAGAGAAAAATATTTATTTATAGACGAGACAAATATTAGACAAAAATAAAATAAAAAAAAAATAAAAATTAATAATTATTCATTCAAGTTAAAAATTTCCCTTTGGTATTTCACAATAAAAAACTATCGATAACAAACAATTTATGTGTTTTTCCACTGAACTACATTACAAAAAAAAATATCGGTAACAATAAAAAATAAAAATTGTTACCAACAGGTTAATTTGAAAGTTGAAAATGAAAACATATCATTGGTCACTGTTATATAATCATTGACATTAATTAATTTTGCAGAAAATAAAAACAAGAAAACTGGGGTTTTAAATCACACTGAAACGTTATTTAATAAATGGTCAAGACCATTCAATAAATAAATTAGTGCAATAACTTGATATTAATCGACTTATTTCCTCGCCTAGGAAAAATTAAAAAAGATTTTTTTTCTCACTATCATTCTCGCAGTCTTAATTAAAGTGATATTTATGAAATTGTACCAAATATAAAACTTTCCTTCCATAGAATTTAACCAAAGAAAAATTATCAATTGCAACAAAAAAAATGAAATTTTTACCAATAATTTATTGAGCAAGTTTCCTCAAAGATCTCGTTTAGCAAGTTTGTAATCTTTAATTTATTCCGGAATTTCATTGTTAACGGGTTAAAAGGGGTTTTCCCTTGAGAGTTCATTTGATATCATTCGTAATTGATATTCGTGTAAAAATTATTTTTATTTTATTGGAAAATCCTTTTATAGGGGAATTTACAATCTATATGTTAATTTATTGTTTTCTTTATAGAAACAATTTTTTTAAATGATTCATTTTAGAATTTCCGTATTTTAATTTTTTGAATTTTCCCATTAAAATTTATGTATTTTATTAACTCTATATTTGGGGTTAAATTTCAGGGGAGAATCTTTAAATTTTTACTCTAAAGTAACAGGAAAATTTTGTTTTTAAAAAAAAATGTTTTCTTGTATTTCTCTGGTATTTTTTTAGTATTTCAAAATAAAGAACATAAATATAATAAAATTAAAAAAATAATATTGATGTAACGATAAAATAAATAATTTTGACGAGAGGGACAAAAAAGAGTGAATTTCAATACAGTAGAAAAAACTCCAAAAAAGTGTGAAATCTAATTTTATTTTTACCAAAAAATTTATCCAACTAAAAAAAGTTTTTATTACAAATGTCAAATCAAAATTTTTTGAATTTGAAATTTTATTCTTTTTAGGTAAACAAATCAAATATTCTTGGAGTTATTTTTCAAAATATTAATAATTCGACAGAATTTACTCCAAAAAAATTTTTTTTATGGGAATTATTTTGATTTAAAATTTTAATTTTTTTTGTGGATAAAAATAAAACAAACTTTAACTCTTCTCGGAGTTATTTTCCAAAGTATTAATATTTCGAGAAAATTTACTCTAAATTTTTTTTTTTTTGAAAATTATTTCACGTTGAAATTATACTTTCCTTGGATAAAAATAAAATAAAATTCCACTCTTCTCGGAGTTGTTTTTTAAAGTGTTAATATTTTCAGATAATCTTCTCCAAAAGAAGTGAATTCTTACTCTATAGAGTGTGAATAAATTTGTAAATAAAGTATTTTTCTTTAAAAATAAAATACAGAGAGCAACAAAAATTAATTAATAAATATTTTTCTCCGAAGAAATAGTAAATGAAAGTAAAAAAAATTCGTAAGTAAAATATTTTACTCAAAAAAAAATTGTAAAAATATTTAAATAATTAATAAGTAAAATATTTCCCTCTAAAAAATAGTAAAAATATTTTCAAAATTAGTAAATAAAATATTTAAAAAAAAAAAAAAAAAAAAAAAAAAAATAGAAATAAAAGGAAAAAAAATTAATTTTTAAGAAGCTCTTTTTTTGGATTTTCGAGTGATTTAAAAAATTTTCAACCCCCACCCGGAAGTCTAGATATCCGGATGTCCTCCGCGCAGATGCAAACTCCCTTCTAGTGGAACAAAGCTTACGAACGTCTGGCTCTGCACGCCGGTAGACGTCGATCAGTCCGTGAAATGTCGTTTATAAGGCAAGGTGTTTTGTGAAAGTGTCATGTGTACCGGACTCACCCCCCCAAAAAAAAACAACTATCAATTTAATTCTCTCACTTAATCAATAACACAAAGTAAACAAGTTTTCGCTTGAATTCCGCTAGACCTAAATAAAAAAATAACTACGACAAAAAAGCTCTCGAAAAAAAGCTTTCTACCGAAAAAAAACACAATTTTCCCTCCGTGAAAAATATTATAAGTTTATAAAAAATTGCAAGTTTAATAAGTAAATAAATAATAAATAAATAATTAATTGATAAATAAAAATATAAAAATTTTTCATTAAGTAAAATTAAGAAAAACATATTCTCGAGATTTTCTGTCTACAACAGAAAATTGAAAAAATAATTAAAAGAAAATAATTAAAAATTGAAAAAATTTTTCCACAAATTTAGATTGTCAATTGTTCGATTGACAAGAAAAAATTTTTTTCCGACGAATTAAGGGAAGGAAGAAATCATCGAGCCTAAAAAAGTGGACCAAGGATGCTGATAAAGCTCTATTGTTAAGGGGAGAAAAATTTATTTATTTCCTGATAAGTTTTGAATTAAAAAAAAATTATTCCATCCATCTAGTGCCACGTTGTTACAACAAAATTTATTTTTTGCTTTCACCGCAAACGAAATCAATGAAAAATTAAAATTCCACTCATACACGTATTACTCCAGTGATTTGTCAAGTCAAAACAAAAGAATATTTTCTCGTCAGAATTATTTTTTTGTAACCAATTTTTTTTTGAAAGCATCTTCCATTTTTTTTTTGCGAAGGAAGACGTCACAGAGACTTGCAAAAATTTGATTAGGGAAAAAAAAGTTACATTTTTCCCTCGAGATTCTAGTCAAAACTTTTAGCTTCTCGAATTAAAAGGAAACATTTTTTTTTATAATAAAATAAAAAATAACTAAAGGAATAAAGGAGAAGAAAAAAAGGAACAAAAAGGAATAAAGAAGAAAAAAAGAACAAAAAGGAATAAAGAAGAATAAAAAAGAACAAAAAGGAAGAAAGGAAAATAAAAAAAGAACAAAAATAAATGAAAGAGAACAAAAAGGGAGAAAAGGAGCGAAAAAAGAACAAAAATAGGTAAAAGAGGACGAAAAAAGGAATAAAAAGAAATCGAAAAATAAGGAAATAAAAATACTGCCAATGAAAAAAATAATATAGAAAATACAGAAATACTAAAAATACAGAAATACAAAAAAATACAGAAATACTAAAAATACAGAAATACTAAAAATACAGAAATACTAAAAAATACAGAAATACTAAAAAAACAGAAATACTAAAAATACAGAAATACCAATAAAATAAAGAAATACAAAAAACACAGAAATACTGAAAAATACAGAAGTACAAAAAAATACAGAAATACGAAAAATAAATTGAAGAAAAAAATTGACAATGAACAATAATTACTGATACTAAAAAAATAACAAACCGAATACGATATTCACAGAGGAAAAAAAAATGTGAATGTAAAAATAATTGGATCAAAGTGAAAAAAAAATAAAAATCAACTACAAAACGAAAAAAATAAAATCAACAATCAATAATGATCCATTTAATCAAATGATTATTCTTCAGAAAGGAAATTTTTATTACAAGGTCGAATCAACTTCCGGCGAAGGAGAGACGCATTGCAGTGTTAAATATTTATTAGATTGAAAATATTTCACTCATAATAAACAGGAAACAAAACGTCCTTAGATCAATAACCTGAAGATCATTTTTATTATCACCCTGAACAATTTTCGCAGAATTTCTATAATTTTCTATACAGAATCAAACAATTTTTTCTTTAAAAGAAAAAAATACCACAAAAATAGGATTTTAAAAAAAAATACCAGAAAAATTAGAAAACACTACTAATTTTAATTTTCACTCGAAATTTCAAATTTAAAAAAAAAAAAAATTGTATCAAGTACTATTTAAACTGGAAAAAATTTTTCAAAAAATATTTTTTTTGGTGTCAATGAAAAATTTCAAATTTGGGATGAAAAATCTGTGATTGAGTGGCAAAAAAATGATGATGATGGTGATAATGATAAAAAGGAGAAGAAGTGGTAGTTTATTGATGAGTAGTCGACTTGGAAACGAGTTGTGCTTCAAGGAATCGATATCATTCAGTGGAGCAGTGCGACAGGAGAAATTTTCCGTTTGACCATATAAGGAACAGTGGGTGAAAAAAAAACAGTTTCAAAAGAAATAATTTTTAAAAAATCACCGAAAAAAACAATTTTTAACAAAAAAACGAATTTTCAAAAAAAAAAAATACAATTTTCAAAGAAAAAAAGTTTTTTAAAGAAAAAAAAAACAGTTTAAAAAAAGTGAAACAGAAGAAATGTTGGTGTGTTGGGTCCTGGCAGGTGTCCTTGGAGCAATCGTGCTCCTTTATGTGATTGTGGAAATTCACTATTTCCTCAGGATGTTAATAACCGTATTCTTTGCTCGATTTTGTCGTAAACGAGTTCACATTCTCGACGAGACTTCTGTTTATGGTACGTATATACAAAAAAAAATTTTTTTTTCTTTGTAAGGCCAAATTTCTACATGAGTTTGCAATTTTAATGACAATTATTTTCATCGAACTTGTCGCGCCCATGCGTAAACAAAAATAATTTCCGCGAGCAAAAAAAGGAAACTACTCATTGTCAATAATAATTGAATTATAAATATATGGAATAAAGAAATTTTTAATTGGACCCAAGAATTTTTTTAGGAATGAAGAATTTTTTTTGCTTCTTCTTGAATCAATATTGTCGGTGTATTTAAAACAAGTGTCATTTTTTATTAAAGCCATTGGTAATTAATTGATTTTTCAATTCTTTATTTATTTTTCAAATTATTTTTTACTCTTTTTATTATTTTCTATTTCTTTCAATATTTTTTTTTATACTACTTTTTGCTTTTTACACTATTTTTTACTTTTCGTATTATTTATTATTTTATTATTTTATCATTAAGTATAATTTTTAATGAACAATAATAATTAATCAATTAGTTTTATTTATTTATTTACTTTTCAAATTATTCTTCATTCTTTATATTATCTTTTAGTTTTTGCAATATGTTTTTACTTGTTATACTATTTTTTATTTTTTAGATTACTTTTTCCTTTTTTTATTTCTTATATTATTTCAATAATACTTTTCTACTCTCTTTATATTTATTCTTTGCAATAAAAATTTTTTTTCTGGAAAGAAATTTTTCAATTTAATAAATTTTTTAATTTATTGGAAATTATCGTCACGCGAATATTAACTAGTATAATAAACAGTCGATTTTTTATTATAATTAATTGAAACAAATATCTATATTGAAATCTATTATATTAAAAAAATAATTTTTCTAAAATTTAAGTGAACAAATTTCATAATTTAATATGCTTTTTAATTTATTATTTATTAATTATCTTTACGAGTTTTATAATTTTGTAATAATTTATAATGTCATGTTTATTAAAAAATGAATAATAAGAAAAATAAAAAAATAACAAGTAGAATAATAAATAATAAATAAATTAAATAAAATTAATTATATTAATAATATATGAGCGATATTAATAGTATAAGAATACTGAGTAATATAAATATAAATAAAAAATAACAAATAGAAATAGAAAAAAAGAAATAAATAAAAAATAAAATAATAATAATTGAAGACACAATGAATAAAACTTATAAATTTACAAAGAGATGATAGAAACTGAAGAGGTGAATAGCACCTATTGTTATTTATAAAAAGCTTATAGTCAAGTGCCACTGGACTTAAATTAAGAAAAATCCATAAAATCGTCTAGCCACTTCTGAATTTTATATCAAGTTATATCACAACTTAATTTAAAATTATCCCTTTTCTTTTTATTTATTTCCTGCTTCAAACTTTATATTTTCCAATGAAAAACTAAACTTTTTTTACAAATACATAACTTTTCTCCTGTTTAATTTTTTATTTATAAATAAATAAATTTTGTTTGTTTATTTAAAAATTAGTTCATTTTTACTAATTTCGACTATTTTTGTTAAATAAATTATACTATTAAGAGCGTGTTAATAAATAAATTACAATTTATCCTTAGAATTAACCTATGTTAATTTAAATTAATATAATTATATGATAATTTATTCGATCTTGACCAGAAGTAAGATTAGTCATTTACATTTGGAAAAATGATGCATAGTTATATACAAAGATGCTGCAATTGCTGATAAGAACAACAGAAAAAGAAAGAAAAGGAAAAATTCAATATTACCACGAAGTAAAATTAAAAAAAATAATTACTCTTTTAGAAAAGATGAATTATTCGTAAAGTTCGAAAAAAAAGTCTGTCAATATAATCAAGTCGGTTTTAAATTATTGTCCATCATCTTCAATGTTTATACTTTGTTTTTTATTCAATTTTTAGAAATGTTAAAGATTTCTTAGCTTTTTTTTTTTATTAACTTCGTGAATAATTTGAATTAGCTGTTTCTAGTCAATATAAAATTGTTTACTGTCGAAAAATACGTAAAGTTATTTTACAATAAAATTGAAATTAAAATTAAAAAAAGATTTTCTAATTATTAATTTTTATTTTCGGTCTCGAATTATTTTTGGCTTTTTTAGTCAAAAATTGTTTACTAAAGAAAATTTGTAATCAAAAATCAAGTAATTAATTAGAGTGAAAAGTTTGAGAAAAATAAAAATAGCGACGTCAGAGAAATAAAAATTAATAATCACTTCGATGAAACAAAGTGATCAAACATTAATAAATTGCTGATTCAATTAACTTGTTTTTATCCCAATAAATTTTTTTTCGTTTATAATTTTTTTTTACACTGTGAACTACCGACCTAATAAACATAATAAATAATCTACTTCTAACGCAGCTGCAAAATAAAATGTCAAAACAAACATTTTTCTAATTTACTCCATTTAAATAAGATATTTTTAAATTTTATTTAATTGCCCAATTAATTAATTTCGGTTTCATTCATTTTTTCTTCTTTACATATTTTGCCCTCTACCTTGATGAAATTTAATAAAATAATTGTGGGTCAAATGCAGAAGCCATATAATGTCGTTTCCTCGTGACATTTTTTTAAACCTTGACCTATACTGTTCGTGAATGAGCAGATATTATTCACATATAATGTTACAAATCGCAAAAGAATATTGATTTCTGGTTAAATGTTCCAATTTTTGTCTTAATTCATCGAAAAACTTTAGAATGCATTTTAAGAAAACAGTAAACGTTAAGAAAGAAGAAATAAATAATAAGAAATAAAAAATGAGAAATAAGAATTAAATAATAAGAAATAAATAATAAGAAGTATGTAATAAAAAATAAAGTCATAAGAAATAAGTAATAAAAAAATTAATAAGAAACAAATATTAAACAAATAAAAAAAAATAAGAAAAAATAAATAATAAGAAATAAAGAATAAAAAATTATTATTAATTAGATAATAATTAAAATTTAATTAAAAGTAATGAATAAACAAAAGAAAATAAAAATACAAAGAGCATTGAAGAGACAAAGAGAGAAGAAAAAGGGGAAGAAAGAAAGAAAAAAAAACAAATAAAAAATAAACAAAAATAAATAAATTAACAAGAAAAATAAATTTAAATTAATATATAGTTTATAATTAATTAATATCTAAAAATACTAATTCGTAATATAAATATGAAAAATTCTAAATTGTTATAGACCTTAAACTGATCGAAAAAATTGTTGTTACTTGATTCTATCTTCTCATGACATTAAACAATTTGAAAATTTTGTAAGAATGCCTTTTAGAAGTGTTCAAACCTTGATGTAATATTGAAATATTAAAATTTTAAATTAATATTTATTGTAATATGATGGTATTTGGTAATCAAAATTTTGAGATTTTGAACTATGTCATGTTTAAAAATTTTTCTCTTACTTTTTATATATATATATTTATGCAAATTTCTAACTTTTACTCTTTATGTATTGTATGACGGTGTACTAAACAGTTGCTTGAATAAATAGAGAAAATTCAAAATTGTATATAATTAATAAATATAGAAGAAATTCTAATTTATATTTAAACCAATATATTAAAAATATATTTTAAAAAATTCAAATTAACTATAATAATCTTCATATTTCATATTCAATTATTTGCATCATTTCTATTTCTCAATTACTAGGTATTTTTTAAAATAATATTCAAAATTTTTTAAAAATAAAGGAAAAAAATGTTTATAACTTTCATTTGTCAATTATAAATTTTAATTGAAAATTATTCGAAAACATCAATTACTTCATTATTATTATTTTTCCATAGGAATTAAGATTTTCAAAAATTTCAAATTCAAACTTTTTTGAAATTAAACAACAATATAAAAATATTGTTATAAAATATGAAGATATCGATTGCTCCGAGTCGAAGACTCGGAGTGGTCAATTTCTTCATGTTTTATAATTAATAATAAAAAAAAATAATTAAATTATAATTAATAATTAAAGATTAAATTATTATTTTCTAGAATTTTTAATTATTTTTTATGAAAATAATTGAATTCCTTAAAAATTTTTTTATTATAATATGAAAATAATTGAATTATTGCAAAGAAAATTTATAAAAAAATTTAAAATATTGAAACAATTTAATGTTTTGTATTAGAATTCATATTTTATCTTTATAAACAAAAATTTGAATTACAAATTTTTACGTTCTATTATTTTTAAAATTGCTAAATTTTATTTAAAAATGAGAAAAATTTTTTGAAAATAATTGAAATTAGGACAAAAATTTTATTGACATTTTTGAAAATAATTGAACTTTGGTGAAGAATATTTTTATTTATAAAGATTATTGGGATTTTGATAAGAATTTAAAAAATTTTTTTAACACAATTGAATTTTATGAGAAGAATTTTATTACTTTTAAAAATAACTGAATTTCTGCAATTATTTGTAATTTCTCTAAAATCGAATTTTTTTTTAGTGTTTTCAACAAAAATTTGAATTAAAATTTAAATAATGAAAAAAGTAAAAAAATGTTTCTTTATATGAAAAAAAGCCTTCGGTGTTCATTGTTTATTTTCATGTTTCTGTTTCTATTTATTTTTTAATTTTCTTTTAATAATATAGGTTAATAATTAATTATTAATGAATGAAAATAAATTTAAAAAATTTGTTTCGCAGGTATTTGCACCTTAACAGACGTTGATACTCTTTTGTATCATATGAATAATGCCAGATACTTGAGGGAACTGGATTTTGCACGAGCAGATTTTTATGAAAGAACAAATTTGTATAGAGAAATTTGTTCACAAGGCTCAGGACTTGTGCAAGGAGCTGCCACAATTCGTTATCGGAGGTTCCTAAAAGTCTTCTGTTTTTATAAAATAACATCTAAGGTAATTTAACAAAATTTAATATTAGAAATTGGAAAAAAAATAAAATAAAACAATTATTGGAGTATCTCAATAAATAAATAATTTTTTTTTTAATTTTAAATTAAACTTTAATTAAATATAAGAGAAAAATATAAGTTAAGAGATATTTCAATATTTAATTGTCTATTGAAACAATATAATTATTTTAATAAATTAAATTCCTTATTTTAATTTTATTCCTCTGAAAATTATCATCTTCTTCGAAAATTACTTTTTCGATTTAAATATTTTTGAATATTTGTGTAATTTATTATTTATATAATTTTTATAATCACTTGCAAAACGGTGAATTACTAACACAATTTCCAAATAATATAGGTATTTATCAGGAAAAGACAAACCTTAATTTCATATTTCCTTTTAAGGAATCTTTTATCTTTGAAACTGGAATGAGTATGAAAAAGCGACACAAAAAAAAAAAAAATTCTGACGTTTGTAGTATCCTGTAAAACAAGCTCGATGATAACGTAAACATTTTATAATTGATTGTTATTTATTTTAGCAAATCATAAAAAAAGAAATTAAACTCTATAATTAAAGAGAATAAAATAATAATTCATTACAATTTTAATTCTGAAAATGATTAATTTAAAAGTGTTCTGATCTTTGATCGCCTTGATCTTGATTAATAATAATATTTGTAATGAGACAAAAATGATTCGAAGGAAAAATATTTTTTTTTCTTTCATTCCGTTAATATTGTTTTGTATGTTAATTATTTTGTTTTTGAAAATATTTTTTTTTTAAATTGAAACATTGAAGAATTATTCATTTTCACATCCTAATTGGTGCGTATTCATGAAAGTGGTTAACCTATTATCGAATCTTTATTAATAACTGTTATGAATTCAATCAGCAATGTATTATTTCATAATGATTGGCAATTTTTTTTCTAACCGGTCAATAAAGTTTAAATAAGTAGCACAGTTGTTTGTCATTTTTACATTCATTGATTTATGAGAATTTTTCTTTTCAATATATATGATTCGAAGTTTTGAGGTCAGGATATTTTTCTTTCTTTTTCAAAAATTTCCCAAAAATCAATTCGATTCGTTGACAAAAAAATTTGTTTTGGTCAATAAGTAAAATTCTTCGATTTAAATTAAATTATCAAATTATCAATTAAATGAAAAATTAAATTGAATAAGAATTAAATTAAATTAAATTAAATTAAATTAAATTAAATTAAATTAAATTAAATTAAATTAAATAAAAAGTGAATTAAAATATTAAATAGAAATGAAATTAAAATTTATTTTATTTATTTGTTAACAAAAATTTTAAAGGAGAATTTTCTTTTTAATTTTTTCAATTCAATTAAATTTAAATCAATTTTCGTGGATTAGAAAAAATAATTCATTGAGAGGAATTTCTTTTGACTCAGAGAGAAAATCGGAGAAAATTTTTCAATTAGGAAAAAATTTCATGATTCGAATGAATTTCATTTTATTTAAATTAATCTTTTTTTTTAATAATAAATTTTTCTTGAGTCAAAAAAATATTACAAAAATGTAAAATACATGAAATTTTGTTCACTTAGAAAAATCTCTGACTATTTTGAAAAATTTTCCTTTCGATTCAAAGAAAAATAATTATTCATTTATCTAAATTAATTCCCATTGATTTAGAAAAATTTTCACTGGTTTGAAAAAATCCCCTTTTGATTCAATTAATTTTTTTTTCAATTTGAAAAAATTGGAGTTTAAAAAAAAATTTCAACGAATCAAAAGGAATTTTCAAAAAATTTTCCTCTTGATTCATTGATTTAAGTAAATTCCCATTGATTAAGAAAATTTCCCCTGATTATTTTTTCCAATTTGAAAAAATTCCCTTTGAGTTAAAAAAAACTTTTCGACGACTCAAAACGAATTTTTTTTACTCAATGACATTTAATTTGACTTAAAAAAATTCCTTACGATTTGAAGAAAAATTTCTATTGACTCAGGGAATTTTTTTTTGTCAAGTGTAGGAACTATTTTTAAAATTCAAAGGAAATTATTTTTTATTTTCAAACTAAAAGCAAAATTAATTAAAATATTTTCATTTTTTTTTAGATTGTTTATTGGGACGATAAGACAATTTTCATGGAACATCGATTTATAACTCCAAGTGACGGTTTCGTCCGAGCGATAGCAATTTGTCGACAACGATTGTTGGATTGCAACGCTGAAGCTATCGTGGGTGCTCTTATCAATAAAGGAGTGAAACAAAATGGAAATATTGAGGCTGGAATCACTCAGGTGAATCATTAATTACATAATTAAATTAAGTACCCAAAAAAAAGATAATTAAATAATAATTGGTCTATAATTTCAATTTATTTTCTATATTTAAAAATATAATTTTCAAAAATTACTATTTCTTCAACAAAATTTAAATTCATCAAAATTGCTTTTACTTGGCAATAAATTTTAATAATATCTAATAAAAATTTGGAAAAAATTTTTGAAAAGAAAATAATCAACGAATTTTCTTTATTATTTCACAAAAAGTAAATAAATGTGGCGCTCCACGGTGAAAGGGACCTTATCTCAAAAATAACATTCGTCTTATGTTATTTAGGAGATGGGTCCCTTTCACAAATTTTCTTTTTTTTTTTATTATTTTTCATTATAATTTTTTATTATTCATTTCTGCATTATATAAAAAATAAATAAATTGTATTTTCTCTTTTTTTCTTTTTATTTTTGTATTTTTATCTGGAACTATTAAATAATTTTTTATTATTCATTTATTTTCTACAAAAAGATTTTCATACGAAAAATAAATAATTTGTAATTTTTTATTACTTTTTTTTATTATTTTTCATTAAAATTTTTTATTATTTATATATTCTTATATATTTTCATAATTTTGTAATATTATTACAGTCGAACCTGTCGAAATGCAACTCTATTTTAAAATTCTTTTTGCATTCAAAGATATCCAACATGATTTATTTTCACTTAGCTATAGAATATTGTAAAAATATTGCAAAATTAAATTATAAAACAATTTTTTAAGGATTATTTACTACAATAAAATTTAAAAAAATCGAGTTGCATTCTGACGGGTTTCACTGTAATTTATTTTCCATTATACGATAAATAAAAAAGAAAGAAAGAAAATTGTAAAGAAAATAAAAAATTAATTATTTCTTTCTGTTATTTTCCATTCAGTTCAATTCCATTTTTTTATTATTCACTTCTTGTCTGTATTTTTATGCAATAAATAAATAAATTTTTTTATTATTTCTCTTCATTATTTTTCATTCTAATTTTTTTTTTATTATTTATTTATTGTTATATATTTTCATGATTTTTTAATATTATTCATTTATTTTCTGATATTAATTTTCTCTTCAATCCAAAACATCAAAAAAAAAAAAAAAAAAAAAAATGTAAAGAAAATAAAAAATTAAAAAACGAAAACTGAAAAAATTTTCCAGATTGCAAACGTGAGACCAGAAATCCCACCGGAAGTGGCAAGGTGGATTGAAAGTAATGAAATATCTTCAGCGGCGTTAAGAAAGACACCAGCTGTAATTTCAAATTGCTGACAAAGAGATGACGCCATCGCAAATGGCGTAGAATCATCACAATTTCATGAAACTACCATGGTCTAATTTCCATATATCAACTATGGTTCATTGCACCTTAAATATATTTTCCATATAAATATTAAAAGTACCTGATTGTTATTTTCAAAATGAAGAAAAAGAAGAAGAAGAAGAAAGAAAATTGCGATCCTGCAAAGTGATAACCTCGATTTTATATTCATAAGTGAAGTGCTACCTTGAAAATCACAAGAGTGACGAAAAACAAAAAAAAAAAAAAAGAACTAGTTGCGTCGTTATTAAAATGACTGCACTTAATTAAGAAACATAACTATATTATTTAATTACCACAACTGAAAGAGTGGATCAATTTCGCTAATTAATGGGACAATATTAAACCCCAAAGTGTTCCTGCCTCAAGGATCTAATTAAGATTCACTTTCATCTTGAAAAATGAATCTCTTATTTTAGGTATTCTTATCTATACTGTTCTCTCTGAAATTTTTCGAAATTTATTTTTCCTTCACTAATTAATAAAATAATGGATAAAAAAAAATTAATAAATTCATACGTATAAAGAAATTAATACGCCTGCGTATTAAAGTATTTTCTTTTTTAAAAATAAATACGTTTTTATTGTAGTAATAAGTAAATAATTCAACAATCAAAAAAGGAAATAATTCAAGTAATTTAATCAATTCAATTAAATTCACTACATTTAATTAGTTGATATAAATTAATTATTTCAATTGTTTCTATTAATCACATTAATTCAATTTGTTCAATTAATTAAATGAATTCAATTACTTAGATTTTTTACTTATTTCAATTAATTCAATTAGTTCAATTATTTTAATTAATTCAATTAGTTCAATTTATTCAATTAGTTCAATTATTTCATTTAGTTCCATTAATTCAATTAATTCAATTAGTTCAATTAATTAAATTTTTCAATTATTTTAATTAGTTGAATTAATTCAATTATTTTAATTAATTCAATTACTGTAATTAATTTAATTAGTTCAATGAATTAATTTAATTAAATTAATTTAATAAATTCAATAAGTTCAATTGGATGGAAATTAAATAAACCAAAACTATTAATTAAACAACTATCATAATATTAATTTTCCTATTTTGTTGAATATCATAATATTAAGTTCATAATTGAATTAATTTTCTAAACGTCGATAAAAGGATTTATCAAAGGAACTTAATTAATTAACTAAACTAGAGAAAACGTTTCAGAGAAAATATTGATTTTTTTAAAATGAAATTAAGAAAATGTGAGCTAATTGAAAAATTGTATTTATCAAAATGTTAATTAATTGAAAAATGTAATTAACAAAATATTAATTAATTGAGAAAGGTAATAATTAACAAAATGTGATTTAATAAAAAAAATTGTAATTATAAAAAGTAAACTAATCGAAAAAGTAATTAAAAATATGTCTATCAATAACAAAAAAACCAAAAAATATAATTAAATTTTTGTCAATTAATCACAATAGCATTTTGTTAATTAAAAAAAATAGAGACAAGAAAACTGAAAAAAATATAAACCCGAACTGAATTATAGAAATAAATAGAATTTCCAAAACCTAATCAAATTAGTTAATTTTAATTAATATTTAATTAATATAAATATTTGCATTTTGCTATCAAATAAAATTGTTAATAATTAATATTTATTAACAATTAATTAATATTATTAACATTTGCCATTTGTTATTAAATATCCTAATTACGAACAATAATATTAATTAACTGACAGTTAATTGAATAACAGAAGTAATTAAGAAAATATTTAACTAAACAGAAAAAGAATACTTAAAGAAACAAATAAACATAATAATAAAAAAAATTATAAATAACTCCAAATTAATTAAAAAACAAAAAATGAATAAAAAACAAATTTCAAAAAATTTCAGAGAATTAATAAAAGTGACAAAAATAAAAATAAACAACTCTCGTTGTCACTTATAAGACTGCATTCGAATTTGAATTCGCGGTACAGGTTTATGAACAGTGTGTAAAATGCGATGACGAATCAAGGTCGAGCATTAATCAGCCAAAGATTAAGTGTGTCTTATATTATAAGTAGAATTAAAAGAAAATAAATTTTTTTTGTCTTCGAAAAAAAAAGAATACAATTTTGTCAATTTTTAACAAACGGGATTTTCTTTTCTCCGCATGCGTTGCACATTCGTGCTCTAATTATTATTAAAAATTTTTTTTTTAGAACGCCATTTGTGTGATTAAGTATAATTACAAGATCGATTCAGTGACTTATTGAGCCACGGAAATTCACTGGAATCAAAAGGAATATTTTATAATCTAATGACGTATATATATATATAGTGCGAATATCAAGGTTTTGTATCCTGCACACACACACACACACAGACATTATTATTGTGCAATCACCTTTTTAATCATAGACGTGTCTTTGTGTGCATAGAAAACAAAAATTTAATTTTCGATTGTGATATTATTTTTCGATTTGCATAAAATGCATGGAAATTTTTTTTTTACAAATTATTATTATTATCTTTAACGAAAAAATTGATATTTTTAACAACTGTCATTTTTTTAAAATTTACATTTCTTTTTTGAACTAAGTCCTCTCAATTTTCAATCACGTCCAAGAGAGAAAAAAAAATGTACATAATCTCGAATTTATTAAACATACGGCATTAATGAATCGATTAAATATAATGTGCCTGAAGTCTTTAATAATTTCAATTATTTATTGTATTTAATTATTATTTCGAAATTATATTTCAATGAACGTAAATGAACGTAAATTGTAATTAATTTTTTAAAGTAATTCTGAAATTAGAAGATGATTTTCAAAACGAAATATTCGACTGTCAGTCAAATTCTTGAACATAGTTTTCGCAGTAAAATTATTTAGTGAATAACTCAATAAAAGTAATTATACTTAATTAATTATTTCTCAGAGAAGAATCTATATAATATTCAAAAAATTTACTTCCAATTATTATGTAAATTAATTAGAAAACTAAATATGTAAATAGATTTCCTTTTCTTGATATTACATATTTGGGCTAAAAAATATAAAATAAAAATCTGAGAAGAAAAAAAGTACTACTCAAAAATGTTCAGTGTTTAAATAAAAAAAAATAATAAATAGTTTAAAAAAATAGCTTATCTTTTGCAAAATAATGCCGGAAGTGCTCAGGTATAATCTTAGAAATAAGCAATCGAACAAGTTGATACTACATTTAGAAGTGTATACAATTGCATGTGAAAAATTTTTCTGTTGATATTATTTTTAATTGCTCCTCTTCTCTCTTTCTATCTCTCTTCTAAATAACTTTTTTTTTAATTCTATTCATGAGGAACATTATTTATTTTTCATTGTATAATTGTAAATATTTTCTCCTCTTTTCTTCCATTTTAGAAAATTTTTTTTTTAATTATTTTTTTTTAATAATTTTTTTTTGTTAATAATTTTTTTTTAGATTTTTAATTTTTTTTTTCTTTTAGAATTGTAAGTAGATATAAATATATAAATACCAGAAACTGATATTTTGTCAGAATATAAAGGCGATTTTATTGCACTCGTATTTAAGAACAAGTTTCTATATATAATATTATATTAAAAGCAAAAGTTGCCTTTAAAATTTAAATAAAACAAAATAAAGTAAAAAAAAACATTTTTGTGGCTTGTACTTACGAAATATTTACATATAGACATTTTTTCACTTTATATTTGCGACAGCGAGTGAAAACTATGTGTGTCTTTTGTAAAAAAAAAACAGCAAAAATTTAATAATAATTCCGAAAATTATTTTTCAAATTTTTTCCTCAAATAAAAATTGTTCAATAAAAATCTCTACGTCCATAGAATTATTGTAAGTTTTTTATAGAAAAAAAGCTAAAAGTTATTTGTATTGATTATAAAAAGGAAATTTTCCATTTTGTGGAAAAAATATGAAAGAAAGTTAAATATAATAAATTTTTTGATTTTGAGGAATTTTCTTTGAATTTTTTATACCAAAAAAATCCCCGCCCTTCTTTTTTAATATTTAATTTTGAATTTTATTCTATTTCTGGAATTTTCTTCGATTGAGAAGCAATTAAAAATTAAAAAAACCTTTTTTTCTACTTTAAGAGTAATTTTTTTATACAACTATTTTTCTACTGTATTTTTTGCCATAAAACTTTTTCCACCAGAAGTTTCTGCTACCGAATATATTTTTTATAAAAGAATTTTTTTTATTTAAAAAAATAGTTTTTTATTCAGTAAAAAAATTTTTTTTGACTGGGAAAAAATTAGAAATTATCTTCTGTACTTTTTTACTATAAAACCTTTTTTCACAGAATTTTTTTTTTATAAAATAAATTTTTTTATTTAAAAAAATAGTTTTCAATTTAGTAAAAAAAATTTCCTTTCGACTGGGGGAAATTTTTTAATTTAAATGAATTTTGTTAATTCAAGAAACTTTATTCCACAGGATTTTCTTCTACCGAATTTTTTCTATCTATAAAATTTTTTTATTTAAAAATTTTATTTAAAAAATAGTTCTTAATTTAGTGGAAAAATTTCTTTTTGACTGGGGGAAATTTTTTAATTTAAAAGAATTTTTTTAATTAAGGAAATTTTTTTCCACAGAATTTTCTTCTCCCGAATTTTTTCTATAGAATAAATTTTTCTTTGTGAAAAAATAATTTGTAATTTAGGGGGGAAAATCTCTTTTTGATTGGGCAAAAATTTTTAATTTAAAACAATTTTTTTAATTAAAGAAACTTTTCTTTTATTTTAGATGAAATTTTCTTATAGAACATTTTTTTATTAAACTTTTTAGTACAAAGTTTTATTTTCCAGATTTATTTTCCAGCAAATTTTTTCTAGAGAAGAATTTTTTTATTTGAAGTAGAAGCAATGCCAATAAAGCAGATTCCTGCAGGTGAAAGAAGTTGATAAAATTTAATTCAATTTATTCATGCAAAGATAATAAATAAATAATGTAAAAAATATAACGAAAATAGAGAGTAAAAATTGAATTAAAAATTAACTAATAATTAATAATAATAATTGCTTTTTTAATTTCTTTTTTAGAAATACTGCTATCAAAATTAAGTCTATATGCAAGTGAGAGATGATTGGACGATACAACACATTCCGGTTTGTATAGTTTTCAGTCGGTTTGTGACCATTGTGCGTGTAACATCATTTTTTTTCTACTTTTCTACTGTGAATAAAATTTATTATCAAAACATGTTATGTTACTGTACTGTCGCGGCAATAGCAATATTATATGTTCTATTCGATGTAAATTATTTTCTTAGAATTATTTTAACTATAGCATGGGGAAGAATATTTCAGAAAAGGAAGAAGATTCTTGAGCAAACTTCAATATACAGTAAGAATTTATAACGGAATCGGGACTTGTAATATTTAAAAACGTTGCTCAATATTATTTTAGTGTAGAAAGTATTTTACTTCGATAATTATTTTTTTTCTCTATTTAGTGTAAATCTTTTGTATTTATTGTATTATTTATTTTTTATTATTATTATTATTATTATTATTTATTTATTATTCATTTGTTACTCTAAATTATTTTCTACTTTGCTCTTTTGTTATTTTATTTGTTGTTATTATTTATTATTTATTTTATCTATTATTTTATTTATTATTTTATTTACTAGCTCTTTTTATTAATATTTTTATTTATTTATTTTATTTATTTATTTAGAATAATAACAGGACAGACCCTTTCGTTTTTTAAATTAAATTTTTTTTATTTAGAAAATAAAAAAATTTATTATTTTATTGTTTATTATTGTTATTATTATTATTGTTATTTTTTTTATTATTATTATTATTTTAATTTGTTTCTATTTTTATTTTTAATATTATTAATTTATTACTATCAATTTATTGAAGATATCATTTTTATTATTTAATGTCTCATGAGTATATAATACAAGACATCTTTTTTCCATTAAATATTTTTTTATTGTCGAAAGCAAATGAGAATTTTTACTACTATTAATATATTTAAAATATTCTCCATTATACTTGTAATTAGTTGGAAAATGTTGTGGAGTCTTCTTAAAGATAAGAAAAAAAAACTTTTAACGTGGAAATTCTAAAAGTTGTTATAAAAAAAATGCAACACTGTTTGAATTAGTGATTATGTTAAAAATCGTATTTGAAATTAAACACGCACACGTTAAAATTATTTCCATAATTTAGCAATTCAAGGAACTAGATTTTCTTGGGTCAAAGAATCTTTAATTACCGCACCTCAGAAATTGTTTTTTAATTATTTTTTTCATTTTATTTTTAAAATATATTTATAATATTTTGAAGTAAAAATAAATATCGTTATCTTCTGCAATTCAAAGTATAATTTTTAAGGAATATTAAATTAATTGATTAAAATTAATGACTCAATAACAAATAATAATAAAAATAAGAGTAAAAGTAAGGATAAAAATATAAATAAAAATAAGAATAAAAATAAGGAAAAAAATTTAAATAAAAAAAAAATAACAGTAATTTTAATAATAATAGAAATAATAATAATAATAACGATAATAATAATTATTATTTACCAATTTTAATATTTCAAGTAAAAATTTGTCCCCTGATGCAAAATATTTTTTTGCCAATAATTTTAAGTGCTAATTTTCAATTGTTAATTTTCTAGATATTAAATTTTCAAATAGAATAAATTGTCCATGACAAAAAAATTAATTCTGTAATTATTTCGCATAATTGTAATAAAATATTTTTCGCTAATAATTTTTTTTTTTTAATTTTAGGTGTGTGCTTTACACAGGACATAGATTTAGTATTTAGACACATGAATAATGCGAGATATCTTCGCGAATTGGATTTTGCACGTTTTCATTATTATGATAGATCTGGATTATTTTCTGCAATTAGTGCAAAAGGAGGTGGTATGGTACAAGGTGCATGCTCATCAAGATATCGAAGGCCACTACCAATTTTTACACCTTACAAAATAACAACACAGGTAAAAAACAAATTTATAATAAAAATAGAAATAATAGAATAAATTTTTATGATAAAAGTTTTCCAAGTATTAATAAAAAAAATTGTCAACATGCTTTTTAGGCGAAACAAATTTTTTATCATCATTTACATTAAATAACTAATATAATATACTATATAAAAATAAATTAATTAAATTGTCAATTTATAAATATTATAAAAAAGACTTCTCTACAGTAAAAAAAAAAAATTTAATTCAAGTAAATATTTATTTGTTTAAATAAAATTTAAAAATAATTTTTATAATTTAATTTATTAATTTAAGTATTAAGTAATCGGTTATTTGATTAAAATAAATTTTCCTTTCAGTGTATACATTGCAGTTGTATTAAAATCTAAATGCAAATTTATGAAAAAAAAAGTTCGAAGTTTATCTTTAGTATTTTTTTAGTGTCTCACCATGAAAATCTTTTTTCACTTATTAGCAAGGCAAATAATAAAATCTAATATACATTGTTACCGTGAATAAATTAATAATGAACATTTTTAATCAAGAGGAATTTTTTTAAATAAGAAAAAAAATTCATTCAATCGAACTGATACGTCATTGTTAGAATAAAACTATTTTTATCTACTTATTTTTATTTTACTATTATTATCATTTATTTATATTTTATTATTCGTTTCTCGTATTTATTTCTTTTCTTACTTATTCATTTATTTTTGTTCATTTTATTCCATCCACTCTTTATTATTTAAATTTTAATTTCTATTAATATTAATAATTAATTAACAATTAATTACGTAAATAATTATTAATATATTAACTGATTTAGTGAGACTTAATTTTTTATTATTTAAATTTTTTTTCTTATTTATTTTTGTTTATTTTATTCTATCCACTCTTTATTATTTTAATTTCTATTAATGTTAGTAATTAATTACTTAAATAATTAATTATTAACTGATTAGTGAGACTTAATTTTTTGTTATTTAGATTTTTTTAGATTTAGATTCATTTATTATTACATTTATTATACAAATCAGTTTTTTTGTTGTCTTTAATTTTTTATTTCTTCTTTTTTTGTTATTTTCTTGTTATTTATTGTTTTTTGGAATTTATTTATTTTGTGTAAAATTATTTTGCCATTGCAAAAAAAAATGTCCTTCATTTATATATTCGTGGAGAAAAATGAATCAAGTTTTTTAATAAAATTTTATCTTCACTAAATTTATCTGAAATTGTTTCAGCTCATCTATTGGGACGATAAGAATTTCTATTTGGAGCACGAACTAATAAGTTTATCGGACAATTTTGTACGAGCTGTTATTATTAGTAAGCAAAGTGTAACAGGTTTAAAGGTTCCCGTATCGGAAATTGTCTCAAAAGTCGATCCCACTGCACAAAGACCGGCATTATCCAAGGAATTGCAATTGTGGCTCGATTCAATGACAGAGTCTTCGGAAAAATTGAAAAAAAGAAAGTAAATAAAAAATTTTTATTTAAAAAAAAAATATATTCCTTTTTCAAAGGCTCTAGAGACTTATAATAATTTATTATGTATCTCGATCTCAACTTTTGTTGATTTTCTATATATTGTTATCAAAAAATTTATTTATTTACGCTTCTGTTGTGAATCTTGCCGATAATTTTAATAAAAAATTTGCTTGAAAATTTAGAAGGTTTTTTTATTAAAAAAAAAAAAAAATTCACTTTTTTCTGTAACTGTAAAAATTTACTTTTTTTTAGCGATTCATTTAATTTTTCAAATTGTAACGACTAGCGTTACAAAATTAAATTAAAATTAAAGTTAATTAAACTTTTACTATACAAAAAAAAATTCTTTTTTTTTACATAAAAGTGAATTAAATTTCTCAACTAATTAATTTTCTCATTATTTAGGAATTATACGAATTAAAAATGTTAATTTTAACGAATAATGATAAATAAATACAATAAATTATTTATTATTGGAAATCTGACTTAAATTTATTTTTAATTAAAAATTTGTTATAATAAATAAATAGAATACAAATAATAAAATAGAAATAAAATATTTGAATTTTTCACGAAACAATTATCAATCGTCTAAAATTTGTATAAATAAAAATAAAATATTGAATTTTAAAAAATTATGAAATAAGTAGAATAAAATAATGATTATTAGTTTTCTGACTTTTGAATTTTTTTTTTAATGAAACAGTAAATAAACAAATAAACAATTATAATATAAATATAAAAAATAAATATATTAATAAACAAAATGAAAATTTATAATAAATGAATTTAATAAATAAATGAAATTAAAATAAATAAAATAAATATACAATTAAAGTGCGATAAATACAATAAACAAATAACAACAATAAATAAACAAATAAAAAATAATTTTAATTTTAAAATTCGCATAAAAACGAACAAGACAAATTTAACGAACGAAAAAAAGGAATAAATTTAATAATAATTAATAGAAGAAAAAATTAATTTAAAAAAGAAAATTAATAGAAGAAGGAATAAAATTAATATTTGTATAAATATTGGTAAATTGCTATTTATCGTCTGTCAGTAAGGAAAGAATTGAGACTCAAAAAATATTGAGGGAATTCAACAGATGGCGTTCGAATGTTGTCTTATTTTTCTCTATTTTTCGTTGAGCGGTAGATTCTAAAGTTTCAAACTGTTATGAGATTCAGTCGGGTACAACTCTACTTTCTATGAACCTTGTTAACCGTTCAGAAGGAAGGAGCTCTTGACAGCTCTTTCAAAAGGAGTGCACGGTGTTTTTTTTCTCAAATTGGTAAGTGGTTTAAAAAAAAAAAATTACTACTTCACCTGTCTAATTACACCAGTCACTATATTAATTTCTAATTTCCTCATAACGCACAAGAATTCCGTTTACAATCTTTTTCAAAGTAATTTAAAAAAAATCACTCTTTACTTTTACTCCAAAAAAGTGTTAATTCACAAAACTGAATAATTTTTCTTCTTTTAATTTCATTTTAAAATATAATTTTATTTTAAATAATTAATTTTTTAATTATTTAAATTATTTAATTAATTTTTCAATTATTTAATTAATTTCTTAAATAATAATTTCATTTTAAAATACAATTGCAAAAGGGGAAATAGTTTTCTTTTTCAATAATTTCTTTTTCAATAAAATATTTCAGATAAGTTAAATTTCAAAATGAAAAAAATTTGTGTGTGCAATAGAATTAATTAATTATTGCAAAATAATTATTTTATACAATTAAATTAACTAATTATTACTAAATAATTATTTTATACAATTAAATTAATTATTATAAAATAATTACTTTATGCAATTAAATTATTAGAAAATAATTATTTTACATTTTTTTATATTTTTTGTATTAATTATTTTTATTTAATTATTATAAACTATTTATTTTACAGTAATTAAAGAAAGAAAATAAAATTAATAAGGTGGCAAGATTAAATTTAAGTAAAATTTTGTTTAAATCTTTTTGCATTGCATAACTTGTTTGCGGTTCCGATGATTAATAATTTTTTTTTTTTGGTTAATTTTCCATTAGAAGATTTTATAATTCTAATAGATAATTATGCAAATTTTTTTTTGCAACATATTAGCAGGCATGATTCGCGATTATCTACGAATAATGTTCTGTCATTGCAAACAAATCTTTGTTATTTTTACACTGTTATCAAATTACCAAGGTCTGTCATGTTTCTAAATTAAATTTTTTAAAATTATTTTTGCATAAACGATTCTATTCTTTTTATTCAACATTATTGTTTTATTATTTAATTTTCACCTAAATTTATTTTGTTCTTTTTCTCTCAAAATTTATTTTCTTACCTACTTTCTTCCCAAATTAATTTTGTTATTTAATTTCCCTGCAAATTTATTTTATTTAACTTTTTGCAAATTTAGTTTGTTATTTAATTTATCTGTAAATTTACTTTGTTGTTTAATATTTAATATTAATAATTTATATAATAATTATTTAATAATTATTTAATTTCCCTGCAAATTTATTTTATTTAAACTTTTTGCAAATTTAGTTTGTTATTTAATTTATCTGTAAATTTATTTTGTTGTTTAATATTTAATATTAATAATTTATATAATAATTAATAAAAAAATTATTTAACAAAATGAAAATACAATTAAAATTTTTATTCTTTCTAATTAAAAAAAAGCAAAAAATAAATAAATAATAAAATAAATTTGCAAAGGCAAATTTATTTTGTTATTTATTTATTTTTTGCTTTTTTTGCAAATATATTTATTAATTTTGTACTTTGAAAATAAGGAAACATTATAAATAGAAAAATAAATAGAACTGATAAGGAGAAAATTATTTTTGATAGTGGGTTCGCATTTATAATAGATTTACCTTAATTCGCTGACGAGATTTCATTAGTCTTGACGAGATAATTTAGATGCCGACGGAAAGGATTAATTCGTCGACAGCGAATCGCAGTGACGTGACGGCCAAAATCATTACCAGTACTTTACACTCGTAAACAATTGCTTGTTTACACCATTTAACAGAGTAAAATTATCATTCTCTTACCTGCAACAAAAAATAGAACAAAAAATTAATGAAAAAAAAAATTTTTTAATACAATTCTAAACAAAATTCACACTAATTTATTACTAATTTTTTCTAAGCATGGAAAAATTAATAACAAATTGATACAAAGTTTATAAAAATTCCAATTATCATAATATAATAATTATAATAATTTATAATTTAATTTAATCAATTAAATATTTAATTCATATTTATAATAATTATTTAACAAAATAAATTACAATTTTTTTTCTTTCTACTAAAAAAAGCAAATAAATAAAATGAAAAATAAAGGAAACAAAATTTGATTTATTAATTATTTATTCTATGAAATATTATTTTAGTAGCCAATTAAATTGAAAATTCTCGCGAATAATTAATTTTATTTTATTTATAATTTCTAATATAAATTCTCCAAATATTTTTTTATTTGTAGAAACAAATAAATAAATATTTGGAGAACAACAACAAATTAATTTAAAAATTTTATTCGATTTATTTGAAAATCAAAAAAGAGAATTTAGAGAAAAAAATATTTTTCCTATAAAAGAAAAAATAAAGAATTACGGTTAATTTTCTATGCAAATTGTGTTCGTGGGATTTGAATAGAATGTTGTGATAAAAATGGAGAAAGGATTTCGTGTATAAATTGAGAAGCCAACAAGTCGTGTGAAAGATAACTTCTGAGAAACTTTTGGTCCGATGAGCACTAACGCGTATCATGATGACAGGTTTTGGATTGAATTTTATGAGAGCGGAATTTTCACTTTTTAATCAGACGACTATAACTTCTAAACAAATGAAACGTGTAATATTTTAATTAAATTAATTAACCCTCGTACAGTATTTTAATAAATCATGAAAATAATTTAATTTCTAATTTTTTTTTCCACAATTCATTATATTTATTCCTCTTTTTATTTTCAATAAAAAAAAATAATAGGTAATAATAAAATTAAAAAATTAAAATTAAAAAAAAATTTTCCTAAATTCTCAAAACAAAACTTAATGATTTTCCATGTAAAAAATAAAACCGCAGTGTTAATAGAACATAAAAATTTAAATACAGTACAAAATTAAAATTAATTAATCAAAAAAAAAAAAAAAAAAAAGAATTATCGAAAGAGAAAAATAATTTTGAAAAATCTGGATCCATATATTATTATATGGCGTGTGGGCGCATTGTGTTCAATGTTGCGCAAAACGATTGACCGGAATACAAATTGCATAATGATGATAATGAATGAATCTCATAAAAGTCACTGTAAATTTAGATCATACAGATGAGACCTGCATCTTTAATTTTCGCGCAGCATCCACAATTTACGATCAAGGTTGGAGTAGAAAAAAGCGCTTAGAAAATCATCAGCGAGTTTTACTTCCATAAAATACGTGCGAAATTCCCAAATCCGGAAGTGTTTGTAAAATATATTTCTTACATTTTACGAGTCAGTATTAGGCGTAAAAAAACATTTGCTAAATTCTTTGGTACAAAATCCCATTCAACTCTTCCGTATATTAATTATTAACATAAAAATTTTTTTTTTATATTTTTAATTTATTTTCTATTTAAAAAAAAAATTTTTTTTATTTTTAATTTATTTTCTATTTTAAAAAAATCATATATTATTATTTTTTTTTGTGGATTATTATTATTATAATTAAGTCTATAATAAAAAGGCCTAATACACACTTAAAAGCAAACAATTATTATTATTTGTATTATTATTCTAATTATTATTTTTATTGTTTTTTAATTTTGATTTTTTACTCCTGTCTTTAATGTTTTATAACAAATTGTTCTAAAGTTTATTTCTTCTCTCTAAATTTGAATTAGTAAAAATTTTTTAATAATTTGAATTTATGACTGACTTTTTGCTTTTGAATTATTAAATTTACTAATAAATAGTAAATTTACTAATTTTACTAATAAATAGTAAATTTACTAATTTTACTAATAAATAGTAAATTTACTAATTCTACTAATAAATAGTAATTTCCACTAATTTATTAGTAAAATATTACTATTTTAAAAGCAAAAGTCAGCCACTAAATCAAATTTAATAAACATTTTTACTAATTCATATTTACAGAGTATAATAAAAATAATGTTCGC